TTTTTGTGTTTTTTTAATTTTTTTATAAACTAATTTTATTATTTTTAAGAAAAGAGAAAGATAATAAGAAAAAAAAAGGAGAAAAATAAATAATTAGATAGAGTATGAGGATAACCCGAGGCCTTTCGAATGGTTTTCTTTATCAAGCGATAATTTTTAAGATATGTCCGAATATATTTGGGGGTCGACATTACGTTCAATTACGATATTACTGGTTTCTTGTTATATAATGTATTTTAATGTATTTTCTCGCATCTTTGTCATATGATGCATTTTAATATATTTTCTTTGAATATTTGCTGCACAATGCATTTTCACGATTATTTGTAATATATTGCATTTTAATGCATTTTTCTGAATATTTGTAGTATAATGCATTGTAATGCATTTTCATGAATACTTGTAGTATAATGCATTTTAATGCATTTTCATGAATATTTGTAGTATAATGCGTTTTAATGCATTTTCATGTATATTTGTAATATAAAGGATTTTAACACATTTTCTTCGCATATTTCTGTATTACTAGTTGTCTTGCCCGTACCATTGGGCATTTTTAGTTGTAATTCTTGATGTATCTTCATGGATATCTTATAATATCTAATAATGCATTTTAATGTATTGGAGATTCTTTCCATGTTCATTTTATAATAATTTTCTTAATAATGCATTATATTGCACTTGTCAATTATAATAGTAATTTTTTATTTTGTGATCATATTTTAATATATTGTATTTCGATAATTTTCTATAATTTTTGGGTCATACATTTTTACAAGTTAAGTATGTTAAGTATGTTAAGAATACTGCGAAGTATTTTCAATAAGAGTATGAATATGGGAGATATATTTTTTTCCGAAACGTAGGGTGAATGTAGAGAGAGGTATTGTCTTCAATTTACAATTAATAGTTTCAGAATGAAGATAACGGAGGACATGTTTTTACAATCAATGGGACGAATAATGGGAGAATGAGTATAAGAAAGAGATATGTTTACAATAATTGATAAGAAAAGGATATGAAGAAAAAAAAAAATATATACAAAAAACAAAATCAAAAGTTTTTTACAATCAGAATATAAAGAAAAACTATATTTTTACAATCAGTAAGGTGAGATAAACAAAAAACGAAAAACAAAAAACAAAAGATTTTTTACAATCAGTATATAAAGAAAAATTATATTTTATATTTTTTACAATCAATAAGATGGCTTTTGGAATGCTCTTACAATCGATATGATGAGATTGGGTACAAGCGGGAGGGAAGACATTTTTCTGATAGAGATGGATTAAAGAATGGTTCTCGTACATCATTTACAATTTTCGATCAGGAATAGTGTATAGATAGATAGCGATAAATCATACCAAATGTTAAAGAATGATTTTCATCTATAGTCTTTCATTAGGAATAGTACATAAATCTATAGAGATAGATCAAGAGATATTAGAGAATGATTTTCATACACGATTTTTTGATTGGAAATAGTATACAGATGTATAGCAAGAGATCATGCAAAATCTTAAAGAGTGATATTTATATATAGTCTTTGGTTGGAAACAGTATATAAGTAGATAGAGTTTGCAACATGATTCATAATGATATTAGCTCGATATAGAAAAAGAAGAAGAAGAAGAGAAAACAAACAACACAAAAAGACATTTCGGAAGATTGGCCGGTAAACTAATGATAGATTTTACAATATATATGGACGCATATTAAAGAGAACATTTTTCATATATATAGTAAATTGTCAGAAAAGAATCATACCTGGATAGATTTCGAAAAATTATTGAGGCATGTTCTTTTAAAGATAAGAAAAATTTTCTTAATTGAGAAAAATTTCGTAACAAGCTCGATTGGTTGAAGGATAGTGTTTTAATATTACCATAATGAATGGAAGAAGGTTTTTAGATAGAGATTGAAGGAGATCTTTAATAATATATCTAATAACATATTTTTATATAGATTGAGAATGAGTTTTTTTATTTTTTCCGTAATCAGTAGAAGAGAAAAATTTTTTTAAAAAGATTGTTTTATAATATTCTATTAGAGAGAGTTTCATAAATAGATGAAATTAGAAAATATCTTTCAATATCTTAGAGTGAGAATTCCTTTAGAGATAGATTTATCTTTCAACATCTTAATCCTTACTGAGGGTGAGGATTCCTTTAGAGACAGATTTAAATAGAGATTGAAGAGAGATAGTTTTTAAATAGATATTGATGAGAAACAGATTTAAATCGAGAGATCGATTTCTAATACACATTGAAGAATGTTGCTATAAGATATTTCTATTTATTATTATTATTATTATTATTATTATTATTATTATTGGCTTTTCTCTTTCGTATTTTGTTTGATGTTTTTTAATCCCTTGCTGATGTTTGGTGGTGAGGGAGTCTCGTTGCTTGTTTGCTCGGTTTTTTCTTTACCAATAGATGTTTCAAATTGTTCGTGAGTCTATTAGCATATATTACAGGTATGTCATCTAGTGGAGTTCCTTCAAAAATTTCTTGCCATATTTGGTGAAAGTGTGATCCGAAATGCGCTAGGGATGGTGTGTAGGAAAAGTGCAACAAAATATCTTTACCGAATTCTATTTTCTTTTTGTCTTTTTTATTCCATGCCACATCTAGAACTAAATTTCTAAATGTTGCGTGTTGTTCTCCTAGAAGTATGTTTGATGTTGTTGTGCCTGTTAATTCTTGAAAAAAACGTCCCATATGTTTATTTATGAATTGAGGAGGGTATTTGTTTAGTAAAAGTATGATTCTAATTTTGTCTAATTCGGCGCGAAGATCTTCTGGATGGGAACATATACGAATTGCCCTTAAGGTGGCTGCGTAGGGGATGTTTCTGGTGATATGAGGTGGATGTGATGAATTGAACGGGAGTACATATGGTTGAGCTGCAAGTTTTCGGAAGACTGTCGTCCTGAAGTTGGGTATTTCTATAGTTGCTGTTACATCTAAGTAGTTCACCGTTTTTCCACCTGTCCAGGTGATGCGTATATTTGGATCTTTTTTATCTAGTTCTGATAGGTTATTTTTTATCCGCTCCGATGGTAGTCTAGTAGTGAAAAAAATATCGTCTCGGAAACGAAAATATAATTCTTCCTGTCGATGTTGTTGTTCTATAAATGATTTTTCCCACTGTCTTACATATATATCGGCTAGCACTTGTGTGCAGGCAGATCCCATTGCTCCCCCTTTGATTTGCTTATAGAATTTTGGCTCTAACCCTGGGAGTTGCAGGACGAAGTATGAGTTTTCTAATACATGTGAAAAAAGGGCTTTTATTGTATTGATAGATAGGCCTTGGACTTTTTTGTATCCATGCCTGCCTAGAAACTCACATACAGCTAGAACTGCTTCTTTTTGTGGGATCATTGTATACAAGTCTACTATATCAAATGTATACATTCTTGTTTCATCTGTTGTCCTGAAATCTTTTAAATGTTTTAAGAACAATGTCGAATTGGAGATTGAGTAGGAAGTGTGCTTATCGAAAAGAGGACGAATAATTTTATCTAGGAAGCTCGATAATTTTGCCAATGGCGATTTTATACCACTCACTATAGGTCGAAGGGGCTCTTCAATCTTGTGATCTTTCGGGTTATAGTACAGGTGGGGTAATTCAGATTCAGTGAGCGATGGTCGTAATCTTTCTAGCATGAATTGAGGCATTTGTTTATTTGAAACTAAACCTCGTAAGAATTTGTCTGTTTTTTCAATCATGTCTTTTAGCGGAGAACTAGGTATTTCAATGTAGGCATTTGTCTTTGCCATATATGTTGCTGATTTTGTTATGTAATTTTCTCGAGTGTCGACATGAAATACTTTAGATTTGTCTGTCTGTCTGAAAATTATCTTTTTCTGTTTTTGAACTTTTTGGAAGAATGTTATGGCTGGTTTCAAATTTGAGTCTTTTGATGTTTCTGTTGCTACCGTTTTTCTTATTTCATCTTCTATTCTTTGAGCAAATTTTGTGACTATAGGGGGTTCTCGTGCTATTGTCTTAGTCATTCTCCTCCATGCTGCTGCCACCTTTTCTTTCATTTCTTCTATTTCTTTTGGTAGGCGTTCTAGAACGTGTTCAGGTGCTGGTGGAACAAATTTTGGTCCAAGATTCAGCACTCGGGCTTCTGCATCTTGCAAAATCATTGCCTTATTATTTGCTTGTGGTGGAAATCCGATTCGACTGTAGTGTGGATGTAATTTCGCTTTTGAAAACCCTGGATGATGTCGGGATAGGGCGTGCACTAGTTTTCGTTCATTGTGCACGCCCTTTTTGCTAAAAAATTCAGTTTTCGTTTTGCAAATTGGCTGTGTCTCGTTCCTGATACGTGACATAAAATATCATATGGTTCTCGAAAGTGATCTGGTAGTTTTTTTAATAATTGTTCGTATTCTTTGTTGGCTTCTTCTAATTCTCGGATTTTTGCTTCTCTCATTAATGCAGTTAAGTCTAATTTCGTTTTCCGTAGTACATTTTTCCATTGTTCTCGAAGAGAACTCAAATGAATATCATCTGATTTAAGACCTTTGGCATGCAATTGTAATTTATCAAAACTATTAAGTGATGGTGGTGGCATATTCTCTACGAATCTTTTTTCTAATTTGTCCAATTGCAATTTTAAATCTAATGTTCTTGTGAATTTTTCATGTGCATTCTGTATATATTCTTGTTCTACTGATGTTGCTGTTCGTTTGATTTCGAATGTAGCTTTTTCTCTCATCTGATCTAGTAATAGATTATCTAGTCGTTTTTGATTATCTTTCTTTTTTCTGTCAAGTGATTTTTCAGTGATATTTTTTATAAATTCGACTACTTGTGCTCTTACTTGGTTGGGAAACAAAGAATATAACATTTTTTCTCTTTCATTTTCTAATGTTTTATATTTATTTTCAAGAAATTCTTGATGAGCTTTTATTATTTCAAACGTACATTTCTCTCTCATTCGTTTAAAATAATATCTACATTCGATAGGAATGATTGCATATTCAAATGAACTATGTGGTATGCTGCCGTTTTTTGGTATAACTGATGGTGTTCGTATTATTCGTTCTGGTGTGGAATTTAGTATAGGTGATATTATCATCGATGGTTCATTTTCTTGTGCTACAATTAAATTTGCTGTCTCTGTATGTTGTTCTCGTTGATTTTCTTTCTCAGAAGGAAAAAGCACATTGAAAGAGTATTGTTGTTGTTGCTCATGATTATTATTTGACATTGGTGATGCATGTAGAGATCCTCCGGTTAATGGGACATTTGGATTTCTTGGTGGTAATGTCTTTCTTGGAATAATTGGTGGAGGTTGACGTGGAGAAGGTGGTGTTGGTGGATCATCTCGTCGATGTCCTAACTTCCTTTTTTGACCTGGTGTCGGTTCAGGTAACCATTCATCAAAGAACTCTGAAAATTCCGTTAACTCTAATGCTGCTGGTGGCCTTGATAGACCTGCTGGTGATGGTCTAGCTACTGGTAAACTTTCATTAATCTCTATTATGGTATCCATTGGCTCAATTTGTTTCTTTTTATTTGCTGCAATTGTATAAACTTTCCATTTTTCAGATTCGAACTTATAGTATTCTGTTTGATAGTGTATGTTACTCAAATTGTAAATATCTTCTTTTTTATTTTCTAATTCTATTGGTATTGTAATTTTTCGAAAAAATTCTTGCTTATGTCTCAAAAAATGTGGATAGTATGGAATGAGTGACTTACTTGGTAAGTTATTTAAATTTTCTTTCAATTTATAATTTGTCTTTTGACGATTATTAGTGTTTTTATTATAAGAATTATTATTATTAATAGTACGATTATTATTATTATTATTAGTAGTAGTAGTAGAATTATGATGATGACAAATATTAGTAGCAGTAGCAGTAGCATGATTATAACGATTGTGATTAGTAGTGGTATGATTATGATGATGACAATTGTTATTATTATTATTATTATTATGAGCAGTTGTAGTCTGATTATGTAGATGATGATTAGCAATAACAGTAGTGTGATGATGATGATGGTGATGTGATGTGATAGAAAATTGTTTTATCTGTTTTACGAACCAGTTATAAAGAGCTTTTTCGATCAGAACACGTCCCGATTGTATTGATGGATGCAATCCATCGTAATGCATGTGTTGATGTTGGAGATTGGCATTAATTATTTCGAAATTCATTTCTTTTGATAATTTCTTAAGATATTGATTAAATTCTTGATATTTCTCGTTAATAGTTATAGAATTGAATAATTTAGATGGTTTTGATCGTGGTGAAAGTGCTAGCCATCCAATTGATTTCAAATGAGGAAATAATTCTCGTATACGTTCTATCAAAATACGACAATTTTTTATAGCAAGATCAGAACCTAAATTAGCAACATCATTTGTACATAGAGAGAAAATTACAAAATCAGCTTGGAATATACTACTTCGTTCAATATTTTGTTCTTCTAAAAATGTTAACATTCTGCTGCAATCGCAGCCAGATTCAAAAGATATTTTTACCTGTATATTATCGGCACTTACCGTCTCTGGTCGCACGTATTTACACATTGAATCCGATAAAATTAAACCTTTTAATTTATTATTAGTATTATTATTATTATTATTTTCATGATGTTTCATTATTTCATGTTGATGTAATACTGTTTGTTTTTTATATTGTTCAGCATGTTCTATTTTACGACAATTTTTTCTTGGTGGTTGTTGAAAAAGATCAACAGACATAAGACAAGGTATTTTTTTACTATTTGAAGATTTTAAATGAGTATTATTATTATTATTGTTGTTATAATATTGTTTTTGTTGATGTTGATGTTGATGATAATGATTATTATTATTATTATTATTTTTATTATTAGTACTAGTAATAGTATTATGATTATAGTTGGATATATTGGTATAACCGGAAAAAGTAGTTGTTGAACCAGGTTGAAATTTTCGATAGGGATGGGAATTTTTTCGTTGTCCTGCATTGTAAAGATTTGGTTTTTTATTAATATATGGACGTAAATGAATATATGATGGAATGGTTTGTGGAGGTGGACGATTTTTAGACATATGAGTACGATGAGTATTATTATTATTATTATTTGGAATATTAAATTGTAAATTCATGTTGACTCTTTGAGCGAACGTATCAGTAGGTTATGGTTCGACGAATATGTATATATAACAATTCTTTTTATTTTGACAAGTCAACACAAATTTTTAATTTTAGGATAATTATATATTTTGTTAATGTATAATAAAGAAGAGAATAACGATAAATATAATAAATATTAATACAATTTGTTTTTGTGTTTTTTTAATTTTTTTATAAACTAATTTTATTATTTTTA